ACTGATGGGAGGGGGCGTTCTGCCTTGTTTCTTACTGTGTTTCCAGTCCTGGTACATAGTTGATACTCTCTATATATTTGTTGACAGAAAACTGAATTCTATTAACATATGAAACATACAACAGTTTATAAGCCGTCTAAGAGTGATGTGTTTAGGATAGCTGGGGGAAATGACTTCCTTTCCTATGCGAATGCAAGTTTGCCGTGTGTATCCATGTTACAAGGTAACGAAGCCATGGTGAATGTAAAAGAAATGTGCCTTTTGTAGGAGAGACTTCCTGTAGGGGAGTCTGGTGTGAGTCTTTACATAAAGATTTTCACTTTTGAGTTTTGCAGTTTAAAATCTTAAAGGAGTTTTAATTGGCGTTTATTATGCCAATTAAGCTTGGAATGGGGCAATGGATGCATTTCCCAAAATGTCTGAAAGCGCTAACAGCTTACACTGCTGAGCGAGGATCTCCCGGGTGTAATTTAGCCACTTAGGGAGCTGCGTTAACATCCCCAGGCCATTATGATGCTGTTCCGGCTTCAGCGTGCTAAATGTGTGGATGTTCATTCTTTTCTGTTTTGTGCTCTCTTGTACATTTATTTACACTTTACATCATTTTTCTTGTGAATACATACAAATATAGGCAATTAAAAGTATATCTGGAATCAAATTTTGGCCATAATGATTTTTAAATGAGAGTAAATTACAAAATTGTGTATTGCCCATAATGTGTCATGGACCAGAAAATGACAAATGCCATTATATAAAGTGATCTCATATTCCCAACATTTGCTTAATGACATAGTGAAATGGAAAGTACACTAGACCTGGAAGTAGGAGTCCCGGATTCCATCGCCTGCAATACCACTAACACTGTGTGACCAGGCAAGTCATAAACTCCCAGCCTCTGTTTCTTCATTGGGAAATCTAAGAATTGGACTTAATGATGTCTAATGGTCCCATCCTGCCCCAGGCCTTTTGTATATGCTGTTCTTCTTAGCAGACTTCCCAGCCTCTAACACAGACACCAAATCTTATTTATTCCTTAAATCTCAAGATGTCTTTTGTTTTGGGAAACTTCTCCTGATTGCAGACCGTGTCTCCCTGTTGTGTGCTTTCATGTCAGTCTTCTCTCCCCTATCACCTACCGTGGTTTCTGTTGCATATTTACTTGAGCAATCACTTAACTATTATTGTTCTTCCCTGCTGGCCTGTGGCAACTTGGACTGTGCCTCTTCCAGTTCAATTCCACCGTGGATCTCTGCACAGTCCCTCATATACAGTTGGCATCTAATAAAGATTAAATGAATGACTTAACAGGACCTGGATTTATCTTTCACCTTCAAACAACTAGAAGATCAGACAAAATATATGAAGCAACAGTTTATAGATGTTGGACAAAGGGCAGCGCTAGACTAAGATTCCTGAGAGGCAAACAAATGAAATGAATACTTCCAGGGCCCGGCTCACTGCCTTCACAGGGAAGGGGGACCCAAACAGAGCCTGCTGGCCTTGCTGAGTGGAGGAACTCTTGGGGGGAGATTCCCGGAAAGGAGGTTGCTGCGGAGAGAAAGCAAGAGAGAGAGAGAGCATTCTGGAGACGTGCAGAGGGATCCCTTCAAGTCCTTGGCTGAGAACTGATCTGTGTACGTGTACGAGGAACCTACTGAGGACGGGGAGAACCACCGGAAAGGAGCGGGCGGATCCATTCCCAGGGCTCACACAGGCTGGGAGTAGTTTGCTTTCACCCTGGCCATAGTGGGGAACCTCCTAATGCAGGGGCATCAGACTGAGTCCTCAGAAGGGTCCTGCTTCAGGAGTGAGGTCATATTACGCCTAGACTAAAGGCTGTTCTGGGCTCATCCTAAAAAGCCTGAAAGTAACCTTCAAAAGGTTGAAATGAATCCAAGTAACTTAACTGCATCTCAGAAGAAAAACCCCCAATACTTAAAAGAAAATAAAAGCTAGTAAGTAGCAACAAACAAAGCAACTAAAATAAAACTGGTACCCAAC